TTCATCTCTATTTTCTCTTTATTTTCCTACATTCTCATTTTCTTTTCCTCCCTCCTCTCCAAGTTTCTTAGAAAATGTAAACTCTTGAGCTCATTTCAAGTTTTATTTTCATTCTTAACCCATCAAGCAACATGGATTTAACCATTCAAGTCATGGGTTCTTTGTTTGTAAGAGAAAGTTGATGGTTTTATCATTAAAGTCTTGACGGGGGATGGTTTCTAGCTAAATGAGCTCAATTTTGGGATTCAATCATCAAGGTAGAGTATTTCTAAACTTTTGGAGTATTTAGATTTCATGAATTACAAGTTTTTGCTAAGATTTGAGTAGTTGAACATTTTAGGGTTTATATTTGATTTCTTAGTTAAATCATGCTTTAGGTGTTAAGAATATGCTTTTAAGATACCTAAGGACCCTAAATAACTTGCTAGAACTTAAGAATCAATTTAGAACTCAAACAAAGTAATTTGAGGTGAATTTCAAGTGTTTCTCTAGCCTAAAATACCCATTTCTAAGCAAGAGTATCGATACTGGGATAAACAATATTGATATTGGATAAATTGGGGTAAAATTTAGGGATTTCAGATCAAGAGTATTGATACTTTACCTCAGAGTATCTATACTTTTTCAAGAGTATTGATATTTTCCTTATAAGAATCCATTTTAGTATTGATACTTTCCAGGAGTATCGAAACTTACCCTAGAGTATCGATGCTACATAGTCAAAATGATCATATTCCGTCGACACTGTTTTTCGCCCGGGCGGGTAAAAACAATACCGACTTGGGAGTTTTTCTTTGACAATGTTTTGAAATGTGAGGAGTCGCCACCAATCATTTAAGGGTGCGATTGGGAAACCATAAAAATCGGGTGATTTTAATAAAACATTTTATTTTTATCAAAATACCAAGTTTTAGGGTCTGGGAAAATCCAAAAATCAAGTTTGGGAGTCGGTTACACGTGGGGAAAGATTAGCACCCCCCACAAGCGCCCAAAAATTGGTACCTAGTTGATTACCCTATATTTAGAATCGAAAATTATGAGTTTGAACTTTATCTAATTTAAAAATCATTACGGATGCAAAGTTGAAAAGGGTATTCATTTATTAATGCCAATAACATTCGCCCCCTAACATAAATACGGGAGATCAATTATTGTGCCTAACAACCAAACATTGCTTTGATTTTAGAAATCATGATGCAATCTTGAAAATGATGTCGACCTATTTCGGGAATCACCAGTAGTCACCCCCTGAGCATACTTGCGAGAGATTTACTATTGACTCCCTAATAGATGAACATTGCCTTGTGTTTGAAAATGATATGCAATCAAACATTTTATTATTAATCCTAATTAACTAAGGGTAGATTAAGGCTTTTTTTTATCTTAAAATGTCAAATTATCTCTTGACAACTGAAAAGATATGAAGTGTAAAGGTTATCTCTTGATCCTTAAAAAAGAAAGAACAAATTAGTGAATTTGTTGGAAAATCCTAAGTGAGGAGCTTAGGTAGTGGAAGTAGACTTAGTTGATAAGTTGAACCACTATAAATCATTGTGCCAAATTTCTCTATCTTTTACTCTCTTTACGCCCTAATCAAATTATTGTCAATTCACCCTCTTGCAACTTTTTTCGGTTGTCAATTTGAGCTTCCGCAAATCCTAATAGTATGATATATGTATATCATATCAATATATTCTATATAGTTATAGAAAATCGTTTAAATTGGAATCGAATAGTATTATAATATTATAAATATTTACAATTATTTAAATAGAAACTCGAACTTGACTTGAATTTTAAAAACTTGACATGAAAACATTTTAAAATTTGAGTTATAAAATAAGACTCGTTAATTCGTATAACTTAAAATTTTTTAATTCACTCGACTCTACCAAATGCGCACATCTAAATAAAATTTTAATTCATCACAATACGGAAGCCAAGAAAACTGTAAATATTAATTATAAAAGTTAGTATATATAAAGTTAAACAATTTCAAAAATAATAATAAAAGAACTAATATTTACTGCATGTCAACCGGCGATGTTGATCCTCATCCGTATATCTTTTTCAGTAGCATCTTACAACTTTGTCTCACTTATTTTATAACACCTTCTAAAAAATATAAAAATAAAAAATGAGAAAAATAAATTAATTAATGAAAATGTATATTAAAATGAAGTTAAAAAAATTACCTTCTAGTCGGAGGAAACTCAACCAGGGCTGATGTAATTGGCGTAAAAAACGGGAATCGATACCAAGACCTTGATTGTAGCAATATTAGACATCCTACTACATCGAATTTTCGACCCCTCTCGACGATTGCAACATTGTAAAGCTCCCGATAGAAAAACGCTATAATTGTCGAGCCTCAATTGGTATTACGCCACTTAGCGAAATTATTTAATATAGGTGGATACTAAGTGTGCGCCAAATTACCGGAGTTATCCAGTAATAATACCCCTCCGATCAATTGGAGAAGATATGGTCGGGATTCAAAAATAACCTCCTTATTAGTATAATCGTTTGTCATTTGAAATTCGAAATCCAACCACGTCATCCGTATTCGATACCTATCTAAGACCTCAGATGGTGGCAATTTTCCCAAAACTTCATAGACAATACCCGATGGGTTGTAATTGTTTCGCCTCACGATGACGACACCATTCACAGGAACACTGATTTGGCAAGTGACGTATTCCAAAGTAATCGTCGCTTCACCACTCGGGAAATGGAAAGTGTGCATCTCAGGCCTTCAACGTTCAATCAGAGCCAAAATCAACATCGAATTTACCTTAAAGCCACATAAAAATATGGTTGGATATAGGCTAGATTACTGAAGATATATAATCATCCGTTGATGCAGATCTTTCGATGTCATTCAGCGCTGAAGAATGCTCTGTTCTTCTTCCGGACAAAGTTCGATTGACGAAATATGAACATTATCAAGGCGTAACATTTATTCTCGAGAAGCCAATTTTGGGATTTTTCAGAAAGTAAAAAAATTTCTCAATTTTTTTTCGTAACAGTTAATGGTAAAACACCTAAAACCCAAACCCCATATTTATAGCCTTAATCCCAATGGTTAGAATTTTCAAAAATCCGATTGAACTCGTCACCTCGAGGTGAATAGTTTCATATTGACCATTTCCAAGTGACTGTTGTTATTTCCCATTGACCAGTGACTATAAACAACTATTTTTTTTAATTCGAATGAACTCGTCACCTCGAGGTGACGAGTAACATTAATTTTTTTAAGTTTTAAAATTTAAATTATATTTACAATTTATTTTAAAAAATGTTTTTTAAATAAACTCATCATATTGAGGTTACGAGTAACATTAATTACAATATATTAATAGCTCATATGGGATCCACTCATCCGTGTTCATTAAAAAATATCCCATTAAGGTGACGAGTTCCATCTACATTGTAGTAATTGTCGTATTCTCCAAATTAAAAAGGCGAGTCCTAATCGGCTAAATAAAAAACCCGCTCTCCCTAATGGGACAGAAAAACCCCAATTTATAGTTTCATGGGCTACTCAAGGCTTAGACTTTGCTATTCTAATTATGTGTAAAGAATATTTTTGTCTTGAGGGTAAATAAAAATAATTAAAAACAATATATAATAAATTATTTTAGCGTGGATAAATATATATTTTAGTATGTGAATTTGATTTTAAAATATAATTTAATCTGTACGAATTAAGTTATCTCAGTGATTAAAGTAATGGTTGTTATCCTTAAAGGTTATAAGTTTGAGCATCAGAGACTGCAAGGATGTTGAGCTTTCAATGGTCAGATTGTTGATAATCTTTAAAACAAATACTACCTTATAATCACCATAGATTAATCAAAATATAATTAAATATTTATTATTTTAATTAAATATTGAATTTAATTTATTAGTTTAAGCTATTGTTTTTAAAAATATATTAAATGAACTCTGTAATAAAATTTTTTATTACTTTTAAAGGATTTAAGTTTAAACAGTTATATTTATCATAATATGTATATGTTGTTAATGGTTGATAAAAAATTCTAGATTAGTCTAAGATGTTTACAAATGATAGTATTTATTCTAAAGATTCTACAGTAAAAAATTTTAAACAAATACTCCCTCCGTCCTATAAAAACTGTCTCTTGTTGACTTTTAAAAAATCAAATATTTTAAACTTTGACCTTGATTATTTTAAATAATTAAATTTTATAAAATATATATTTAAAAACTAATTGATTGAAGTTTTTTAAAATATATTTTTACATATTTTTTAATTATAAATTTTAAATAATAATTAGTCAAAAAAATTTAATAATAAACAATTTTTATAGGACAGAGGAGTATTACTTAACTTTGTAAAAACTCATCTAGTTTTATATATATATCTTAAATTTAACTTTCATATATGTAAAAATACTTATAATTATTCATATTTAATTTCGAATATATTATTTTAATAAATGGGTGATATTTTTAATATTTTTTATGATATGTGTTTAATTTAACCCCATTTGTGACTATATTTTGGCTCTTAATTTTTGTTTTCTATTTTTTTTCTCGAATCTAAGGGATGGGCATGGGTTGGGTTTTAGGTCCACCCGATCCGACCCGAGAATAAGAGAGTCTTCACCCGAGACCCGACCCGATCAAAATAAGGTTTCACCCGACCCGATCCGAACATATGACATAGAAACCCGACCCGAAATAATAAAAAAAATATTTTTATTCAATAAATACAGTGACTAAATTGAAAAAAAATTATATATAGAGGGGTATTATTGTAATTATTCCTAAATATATAGAGTATTTTTTTTCGGGTCAGGTCGAGTCAAATTTTTTTCACCCTAAACTCGAACGCGACCCGACTGGAAAACCACATATAAAAAATCCAACCCGAGAAACCCGTCGGGTCGGGTTTAAATGTCGATCCCTAAGTCTAACAATGTGTCATGTTTGTTTACTTCTTGAGTCTTCTACAGGTCAAGGTGGAAGGCCATTTTGGTAATTCAACAGAAACCCTGAATCCATCTTAAACCCTAAATCCTTTCCAAATGCACAACCTGTCAGCCAATTCCATCGCAGAAAGCAGCTCAGCCCCTTCCCCTTTCTCCCACAACAAAAAATATATATATATATGGCAAAGCGTTTGATTCCTTCATTTAATCGCATTTTGGTTGAGAAAATAATCCCTCCTTCTAAAACCAACTCTGGGATCTTGCTTCCCGAGAAGACCCCCAAGGTTTTTAATTCAATCTCTCAGTTCTCTAACCTACGGTTTATGTAATTTTCTTCTAATTTTGTTTTTTTATTTGTTTTAGTTGAACTCCGGCAAGGTGGTAGCAGTTGGGCCAGGATCACGAGACAGAGATGGGAAACATATCCCAGTTAATCTAAAGGAAGGAGATACAGTCCTTTTGCCTGAATATGGAGGCACTGAAGCCAAGCTTGGTGAAAAAGAGTTAGTTTTTTTTTCTTTTACATTCCATCTTGTATTTGTACCTTTCTTAACCCTTGTTGCATATTATTTATTACTATTTTTGCTTGTGAATATGTTCTGGCTGTTGCTTTTCGGGGTTTTTTTTGGAATATTTTAAAGCTTGAAAAGTTTAACTCTCATTGGCTGGAAATGGGTTCACCCCATTCTTACTAATTAATGATGTTTTGAATCCGTCTTGCATATTGTTATTTCTATGACTTTTAATTTTATGTGATTTATTTGCTGTTGAACAACTAAAGCTACATCCGGTGCAAAATGAAATTTAGCTTAGCCCAGAATACACAGAAATGGTAGTAATTCCTCAAATAGCTTTACCTCTTCATTACTGTGCATATGTGTGTGTTGTAACTGTATTATTTTTTTAAGGTTATAATTCCTCTAGGTTGAACAGGGATGGAGCTAGGTTTGAACATTGGGATCGGCTAAATTACTGAACTTCAAAAATACAAGGGTCTATTAGTTATTTATCTATGCTTTGTACCATAAGTTGCCCGTATTCAGTTTAACTGCTGCCTGTCCATTGACAAATTATTATGTTTCTGCAAACATAGTACCTTATGAACCTTGTTATATGGATGCTTCATTTTCGTGAAATAATCTATTTCTGCATTTTTCGAACGTGTGAATGTATGGAAAAAGTTCTGCATCATTGGCATCGTTTCTCTTCAGTTCTAACTTCATTTTCTTGTCAAATAATTCTTTCAGGTATCACCTATTCAGAGATGATGATATCTTGGGAACCCTACATGACTGATTTGCAGGTTTGGACTGAAGAAATTGGATTCTCTATGTTCAAACATGTTCCCCTTGGACTTATGAGACTAGTATTTTGCAGCATGTTTAAGACATTTTATTTGTTCCAAGGCATTTTGGATGGGGAAAAGAAATGCTGCCCAAAATCTTCCACCAGTAATCACCCCTTACATTTTGGTTTATGCCTAGCCATTCTCATATGAACACAATTGGAAGTTATATAATGCACAAACTCCATTATGAGAATTATGTGAAATGATCAATAGGCTCCTTGGCTGTTACTCCAATTTCGGCAACTACTGAACACAAAAAAAGAGATGACAAATTTCAATGAAATATTACAACAATCTAGAGCACTCGGTGTACCATCATAGATTCATCTCCATTATTTCTTTAATCTTTAAAAATAACTAAGATATACAAAACAAAAAAGATGAATAGTTTGAATCAGATAATAATAGTACGATCGTAGAAATGCATGATGAGTGAGCTTACATGGCAATGATGCATTTAATTTAACAAATGGAGAACTAAAAATGGATGGCTAAAGCTAGAACTAAGCTCTTCCTCGTTTTTCCACGAGCATGTTTGACATCGAAAATCTATTATTTACAGTCTTTTGAATGTAGGTTACATGGCGAATGACTGAAATATGATGAGACTAATCTAACAATGTACAACAAGAATGGTTTTGATAACAAACTTATCCCAAAACAGATTCTCAACCTCATTAACAAGATCAGGGAGAAAAGACAGAAAAGAACCTAACAATAAAGAATAGGCACTAGTCATTCAGGGACCATCTTTCAGGAGTTTCATGAGTTCAGGAACTTCTGAGCAGCTTCAAAACTCAGCCCCTTATACACCTGAAAATCATTAAAATCCAGTCCAATCAAATAACGGAAATTGGTATTTGGAAATTGATAATAGAGATATTCAATGGTTATGTTCGGATAACTAAAATAGACATACAAGTTTCTTGTGAACGTGTTGAAAAGCCTTGCAAAATTTTTCCGCTTCTGCTGCACCAACGTGGGTCAATCAACAAAAAGACATTAACCTATGTCATTAAGCATAGGAACTGTATCACTGTAAAACAAGCACTTATGATGAGAACTTTAATTTGCAACCAACAGCTCAACAAAAATATCCCATAAGATCCTCAAAATCTAAAAAAAAAGTGATAACATTTGGGGTTACAGGCAAGGACCATTTAAGCTGCAAAAGCTCTTTTATGGTTGATTCGGCATGAAATTGCAACACAACTAATTTCTGGCTAATGCACAGCCGGAGACAAGGTTTGTTCCAAACCTTTTTCCCCTGTTAATTTCTATCCGAGAAATATATTGTACAACACCAGCAACCACGGGTAGGGCTTTCGTTCTTACCACTCCAGGTTCAATCCATATGACATTCAGGTGCTACGTATGAAGTACATATCTACCGTAGAGGCAGGTTATAACCTACCTTTAAGAGTGCTCAAGAGGAAAGCCCTCTCTCTCTCTCTCATCAAGCAACGGATTGCTATAATGCACCAACAGTTATTCAAAATGTATTTTTTTGTCAATTAATATTTCCTAAAAGAGCACATTGAGCTTAAAAACCTAATTACTGCAATGCATTATGAACAGTAGGACAATAAAGGTTCTCTGTGATATCAAATGTTCACTCTAAGAAACAATATAAAGCAACAAAATCAATGAAATTAACTACAAGATCTAAGCATAATACTTGAAATTTTGTTTATCTTCTTTGAAGGAGAATGCTTCCATTAAAAGAGGAAAAAAATCAAAGGCATCAGCAAGGTTGCCCCATGACAATAGCTGATATGTTGGAGCTCTCAATGTGAGTCACTAGAACTATATATGCTTTCCACCATTTTTTATCCTTGAAGCACACAAATGATAAAAAATGTACAAGTACTACGTACTCCTCTATATCATCACAAAAAGATTCATATTGCCCCAAAACTAAAAAAAGGTACAATGCTTCACACAACAATAGTGGATAGCTGTATCTCTTGATGCAGTTCCATTGAAGAGAATGAAAGGTACTTTGCACCATCAGTTATTAACATTAAAGCTCATAACCAACCAAACTTTTTAAAATGCAAAGTATTCAATATTTATCATCAGAAAGAGGTTTGAGAATTGTCCATTGTAGCTAACAGAAAAGGTCTTCAACCATGGCTGGAAGAGAGAAAAATAGATGGTGCAAGAACAATGGTTGAGATAATGTAAAGACCCCTCAAGAATCAAATTATTGGTGTTGTAAAAGCAATCTCACTACATTGGCTTATTGTATTTTGTTGAACCAACTTTTGATTTTGATATAACATGATTTTTCAAATGTTTTAAGTTGTTAAAATTTGTATTTTACGATTTTATAAATATTTTGTCATAAACTATTTTAAATCGTTTTTTAAGAGTGAAAAATAATCATATGTGTTATTGAGTAATTTTACCTTTTATAAATATTATTTTAAAGCTCAAAACACTTGATTTTAGCCAAAAATCATTGTCAGTCTCGAGACGACCATGTCATTCTCGATACCAAAATTCCAGTAGGCTTTTCGAATCGATACCATGGTGTTGGTATCGATATTGGTGGGTGTGCATCGATACTCTGATAAACATTATTGATACCAAAGGTTCAACGGTCATATTTTTTATCGTTAGGATGGTCGGTTTCGATACCCACTACTCGGTATCGATACCAAATGTGCAAGTGAGCATTAAATGTTCAAAATTATTGAATCCAAAGGCTCTAATCAATCCCCCAACGACTCCAAATGGCTAGAATTATGTTAGAATGGACCAAGATTCAAATGGAGAACTACAAGAAACTAAATTGCAAGATCAAACCAACATCAAAAGAGTTTTAGAGCTAAAATTGGCATATCTCTTTGTAATACACTTGTGAGCTCCTTGTTTATTCTTGCTCAAGTGTAATTTGGGTGTGTGCCTAATTAGTTGCAAACACGTTAACCCTTTGTGAGATTTTCTTTTATTCGCTAAATTTGTAATCGCTCTTGTGGAGAGTGTGTAAGAAAGGTTTTGGGGTATAAACATTGTGTGTTGTTTCAAGGTTACACCTTGTCCTCAAAGCTTAGCAAATCTAGTGGATTTGAGAAATCCTTAGTGTGGATGCTAAGGTAATGGATGTAGACTTTGTTTTAGAAAGGCGAACCACTCTAAATTCTTTTTGCAATTTCATTTTTCGATTGTTTCCACCTTGAAGTTTTTAAAGGCCAATTCACCCCCTCTTGACATTATTCGGTTGATCGATAAAGCTAACACATTTGAAAAACTTATTTGAAGTTTCAAGGAACCAAAAATCGAAGGATCATGGAAATTAAAGGCTTTAGGAAGAAGTTAGGGATGATCAATAAGTCCAGACAAAATCATATGGAAGGAAACTTCTACATATTTTAGTTACATGTTGGTAATGAGTGTGACACATTCCGCTGTACTTTTTGTATCTTAACACAAAAACCTTGTGGGTACTACTTTTACAATTTTTAAAATTTCTTTAAGCACAACAAGTGCAAGGTATGTTTTCAGTGGAAGGAAAAAATGACTCAAAAAGTACCTTGCCCACAGGATCCACAGTAAATCATTCAAATTACCAGTTTAGTTTTATATTCCAGTACTAGATAATTTCATCAGCATCACAGAGACTACTAGACTACGAAGAAAACAAATTCAATAAAACCTACACAATTTAGACATTGAAAATTTTAATTAACTTGGTCATTATACTTTAGGCATACCTTCTTCTCAGCTGCCAACTTTAGCTTCTGCCAAAATTTATCTGCCAAAAAGAATATACGCAAGTAAATTAAAAGGAAGTTGTAAGAGACTTTTTCAAAATAATAATAAGTGATCTATTATTTCTCCAAACTTTGACGTACAAATTGATCAATTGATGACAGATTAATACTCTTATCCATACAATTTCACAACTTTGTTCTAGGGAACGCATAATAACTTACCATGCAGATCCGTTACTTGATTCTCTGTTTCCTTTCTTTCACCATCATGCCATGCATCTTGCCAATCCTTGATCTGTTTAGCAAAAGACAAACATTACAAGAAAACACATAACAGATACAATTCAACAGGATAAGCTAACATATTATAGAAAAGGGAGTAAGGAGGATCAATCAGTTATGGTAACCTCATTTGACGCCGAACAAGAAGCTGCTTGTCTCGATGAATTTGACACAGCCTGAAAATTTTGAAGATAATTTCAAACAAAAATGAAAGTAAAAACTTCATATCAGAATGAATGCAGTCGTAAGCATCAACATTATTGCATGAATCAGCCGTTAGTAGTTATCAAAATCGTATACTAGATTGTTAAACTAGAAAATCACCACCCATGAAACATTTTGTGAATGTAACTAAAACCAAGCATCAATTCAGATATTTTCCTATTCAGTAGTGAGACCATTAAAATTTAAAAAGCATCATTTCCCAACTTTGAGCACCTAGCACTAAGGTTTTTCTTTGTTTGAAGGATGGAAAATTAGTTAATCAAATGGTTAACACTCATAACCACACTCCCACTTTGTAGTTTAACCATTAGATTTAACAAATTTTCCATCCCCACTCCCACAAAGCAGAGCCTAAAAGAATTGTAATCTTTTCTTAAGTCCCACAAAACCCATAAGTATCTATCACAACACTCTATGGAAGCATGAAACACACACAGAGACAAAAACAGCTTTACAATAAACAAAATACAGATCATCAACCATGTCAGAGAAAAGTCACAATCAACAAAACACCGATTTAAAGATACAAAAACATAAGATTATTATAGCACTGAAACAAAAGAGATGATCTTTCAGAACGTTTTACAACGGGAAACTAAAGAAATTCACAATCCTTCAACTAATCTTTTCCGGTGGGGAGATAAAAACAGCCAAATTGAATCAAAATATCGGTGTCAGACACACAGATAAATGAATAACTAAGGAATTATTAGAGAAAATGGTGAAGAAGTAAAATTAATAAAAAAGAGGGGTTTTGTTATTTACGTGATAATCACGAAATCGAACAACAGGGAAGAGATCGAGAAGGCGCCGAAATTCTTGTTCATCCATTTCTCTCAGCTGTTTGGGACAAATCCTTGA